CCCATCCCAAAACCTTGTACAAATCGCCCAATGAGAAGCCATTCAATTGTTTGCACATAAATACAGAGTGCGTTTGAAAAGCATGCAATGACAAGACCAATGATTAACGTTCTCTTTCGTCCAATTCCTTCCGACAAAGGGCCGTATATAAGTTGAGAAAGAGAAAGACCCATCATAAAAACAGCCATACTCCGCTGAATATGATCTATACGCGCATCAAACTCTTTAGAAATTGCCACCAGTGATGGCGCATAGATATCTGAAGAAACGCTCGCAAGGCACCCAACAAAAACCAATATTAAAAATAGGATTGAATTGCTCATATAGCTCTCAAAATTATTTTGCTTTTGTGCTCAGATCATGATACTGATTGATTAGTCAGTCAACAACTTTTTAAAGAAAGCACTATGTCTGGAGGAAAATTCAACCTTAAGGGCAAAGGAGACAATGCTCGCTTCCGCATTCTGAAAGCGGCTCAAAAACGATTTGCACAAAAAGGATTTGCTGGAACATCTATGTCCAGTATTGCTTTAAAAGCAGAAGTTTCCCATGGTCTCTTGTTCCATCATTTTAAAAACAAAAAAAACCTGTGGAATGAGGTAAAACAGCAAATTGTAAAGAACCATAAAAAAACAGGCCCCATCGTTCCAGAAACAACGCTCCCCTTAGAAGGCTTTTTTCAACAACTGATCAAAAATACAATTCAATTTTATATAAAAAATCCTGACATCCAACGAATGATTGGCTGGCAACGCCTGGAAAAATTGCCAAATTCTGCATTAAAAAAAACACAACTTTCTAGCTATCTACCTTGGGTTGAGTCCATAAAAAAATATCAAAGCAAAAACCAAATTAACCACGTACTAAATCCTCATTATATTGTCACCTTGATTCTTTCCCTTTGTAATGGAGCCGTTTCCGACCAAAACCTGTTGTTTTCAAATGATTCAGACATGCAATCTTATATCAATTTCTGTATTGAGACTCTTTTAAAAGCTTTTTCTGCTCATAGATCTAAGGTTCAAGATAATATTTAAGGTTTACCCTTAACCAATTCACTTCACTCTTGGCAAAGCAGACAGTTTTCCTTGAGATTTTTTGTTTTTTAGTCTAAAGATTGGTGGCTTGGATTTTTTAATTATCTTTCAAGCCTCCAGAAAAAGTATTTTCTGATCTCTCCTTGCTGAGGATGGGCCTCAGCTGTTTAAGCCATAAGGAGGAAACACATGGCTTTATATGAAACTGTTTTTGTTGCACGTCAGGATTTGTCAACGGCACAAGTTGAATCTTTAACATCTGCCGTTACAGACGTCATTACCAAGCACAAAGGTTCTGTTGGAAAAACAGAATATTGTGGCCTTCGTCCCCTTGCTTACCCTATTCGTAAAAACCGTAAAGGCCATTATGTCCTTTTAAACGTTACAGGTGACAAAAAGGTTCTTGAAGAAATTGATCACTTCCTTCGTCTTAACGAAGATATTTTGCGTCACGTTACTTTGTCTGTTGAAAAGCATGATGAAGAACCTTCTGCTCTCTATCAACAGTCCCGTTCTTTTCGTGAATCAAGCAGTTGGGATGTAAAACTCCCTCACGCGTCCAGATCTTAAACCCATCTTTTTTGAAAGTATAAAATTATGAGTGATATTGAAACAAAAACAACAGAGACAGAATCTTCACCAAAGTCCAACCGCCGCATTGTTTTCCGTCGTCGTAAAGTTTGTCCTTTTTCTACAGAAAATGCACCTAAAATCGACTACAAAGACGTAAAACTACTCCAAAGATACATTTCAGAGCGTGGACGCATTATTTCTCGCCGTATTACAGGCGTCTCTTCTAAAGCTCAGCGTGCCCTTTCTCAGGCCATTAAGCGCGCCCGTGTATTGGCTTTGCTGCCTTATGAAATTAAATAATCAGAAATTTTCTTTGGGGCCTCTTCAAGAGGCCCCCATCTTTTTAAGCGGCATTTTAAGTGCAGCCCTCCCCCTTCTTGGGACCTTCTTTCCTCTCTTGTTTCCTTTGAGTTTCTGGACAAGCGCCCCTCTTCTTTACATTGGATTTTCCCGCGGTCTAAAAGCTTGCGCTATCTCTTCCACGCTTTCTTTAATTTTAACATTTCTTCTAACTTTTGAGGAAAATGCCCTTCTTTTCTTCATATTTCACATTCTTCCTTCACTGGCTATTACCGCTTTTGTCCTATCCAATCGCACACAAACAAGAACGACACACCTCATTTTAGGGCTCACGACTTATAGCGCCTTAATTGGTTTGGGGTTGTCTTTCTTACTCATACAAACAATAGATCACCTTGTTCCTATTGTTGAATCTTTTGCGAACCAAAATGGCTTAGATTCAAAAAGCTTAACCTCTTGGATTTCCTGGGCGCCAGGATTTGTTTGTTTGGGAAGTGCTGGGGTAACCTTAGTCAATAGCATCTTTGCACAAAGGCTGGCTCTCCATCGTGGGCACCTTAAAAAAGTCCTTTTTGACCTCAACGCTCTCACTTTAAATGATACTTTACTCGTTGGATTAGTACTCTCTGGGCTTGGCGTTTTTTTCTTAGAAGGATTTCTAGAAATATGTTGCCAAACCTTTGTTTTAGTGCTCTGTTTTCCTTATCTCACCTTTTCTTTTACAACACTCCACTTGGCGGCTGAACAAACCGGCCCAAAAAAACCTTTCATTCTTTTCGCTGTATATGCACTTCTTTTCTTGCTTGTTTGGCCACTCTTGATTATGGTCAACCTAAGTATTTTTGAACCCTGGTTGCGTTTACGGGCGCGACTTATAGAAAAAAGTTGAGGGGTAGCTCATGGAAATTATTCTTCTTGAAAGAGTTCGTAAGCTTGGATTTATGGGTGACGTTGTCACAGTCAAACCTGGATTTGCACGTCATTTTCTTTTGCCAAAAGGAAAAGCACTTCGTGCGACAAAAGAAAATCTTGCCTTTTTTGAAAAGCAAAAGAAGCAATATGAAGCAGACAATCTAAAGCTTAAAACAGAAGCTGAAGCGTTAGCGAAAAAAATGGAAGGCTTAAAGCTCGTCATCATTCGCCACGCTGGTGAAAGTGGTCACTTGTATGGTTCTGTTGCTGCACGCGACATTACAGAAGCTGCCGAAAAAGCAGGTTTTTCTATCGACCGCTCTCAGGTTGTTTTGGACACTCCTATTAAAATGTTGGGTATCCATAATGCGACTATCACCTTGCACCCAGAAGTGGATGTCGATGTTTGCTTAAACGTTGCAAAATCTGAAGAAGAAGCTGTATTGCAAGAAGAACGCGGTGGTGCTCTCATTGCTGAAGGCGTGGCAAAAACTTCTGAAAAAGTGGCACCGCTTGAAGTGGTCGCAAGCAAGCCTGAAA